ACCATCTACATGATGCAGCATTTGTTTGATACATTATTGAGTAAAATTGAGTGAAATTTGAGTGAAATTTTGAGATTTTACTTTTTAATTTTCAAGCTTGTTTTCCTTTTAGTACTTAAAAGCATCCAATATTGATAAAAAAATATCGGTGTACTTATGCTATAAAATCTATCAATATATAATTTTGCTAATATTTATAAGATATCCTTAATTAATCTAATTAATATTAATAAGCACAATAAAATAGGAAAATGCGTCGACTTCCTCATGTTTTTGTAAAATAGTATTTATAAAAAAGACTACCTACACGATCAGTGATTTACATCTTTTAGAACTGTCTCTAAGTACATTCACATTATTATAAACCGTGATGTCAGTAATTTTCCTAACATGCCATAAAAGAAACCATCTCTGAACATGTTTTTAATGCACAATTATTAAATAATGGCCCATATAATTGATTCGAATTGGGCTCATTAAAGTAATTACTTCGGAACCGTACTGTGTAAATAACAAAAAGTAACTGCGCCGCCATTATTCCAAAACAATTTTATAAGTAGGTAGCGTATTCGCGTAAGAACGATTCTAGATACTAAACGATACAAAAACAGTTCATTAGGCATCCGGTTTATATGAATTTATTGTTCTCGTTCTGTGCAGGATATATCAAAAATCAAGTTTATGATCTACGATAATTATTTTAATTACGGCTAAAGCGCATTCGGCGTGATTTCAGCAAAAAATGGGTTTGAACTCTTCAAGGTCACTTTATTTTGATCTTAATTGCATGAAAAGAACAGTGCAGGCTCCAGATATTTTACACCGATAGATAATAGCTGCGTCTTACCACATTTTTGTAATTTGTATTACTAATTCCCCGCGTAGATGTAGTATATTCGTTTATACTTATACGAATATTTGCCGAAATTGTATGTTCTAATATTTCACCTAAAATTCGTAGAGAAATAATTATTTGCCACACGAAAAGCTAGACGGGCTCCTTGAAATCCTATCCATACTTGCGTGAACAAATTTTTGTCAATTCTACGAATATTTGTTAGTGAATGTTCATATCTATCTAAGCCATGTGCATAAATTGCCTAAAAGTAGGTCGGGTTTTCATATGTTGATTTTATCAACTCAAATCGGAAAGTTGGACAAACACGAGTGTGTCTCCAAAAATACGAGTTTTTCTGTACCGAATATTCATACATGAATGAAAAACGCATGTGTAATGCCGAAATTTGTGTAGATTACCGAACTAAGACTATCAAGTATTCCAAATATTTGCCTTATATTAACTAAGTATTGAATATTGATATAAAAACGGAACATATGATGTTAAAAACTAAAATATGACATAAAATATATTCAATATGTATTACCCAGTAATCACAATTCGTATAATTTATATTATTTCTGAAAAAGATGTAAATATGGTAACATTTCAATGGAATCACCAGCCCTATAAAAACTTTGCGTCACACTCTTGAATAATCAACGTGGATACGAATAGAATCATTCAAAATTATTTATGTTTTTGATTTTGGCAATAACTGAAAAGAAAATGAGTGATCTGACTTTTTTTTAATTATATAACATGAATATAAACGAAAATTAAAACCACTGACGTCAATAAACTGTAATAATTGCATAGAATAACAAACAAAATGATGCAGTAATGCTACTGCCAAAAAACTAATTTAAATTAAGATGCACAAACGAATAAGGTCAAAATCCAGAAAAACTTTTGACTTTTCAATCTTCCAGCAAACGTATCAAAATATGTACATTGTGAAGACCACCAGCCACTTTTGTATGATTTGTACGATAAAAAAAACTAAATTACTACTTAGATGATGCTTCATTACGGTTCTCACGGTTAATGGCGTATAGTCAAGCTTACATTTCATGTTGCAATGAAATAAGGTAGGAGTCAAGTAACCGATATAGAGATGGCGTGCTAAAGAACTAACTTAAAAATTAACAGGAAGGAAAACAGAAGTATGATTTTTGTTTGATTTTATAAATAAGCACATAAAGAAAAACCCATGAAATATTTTTTTTATTCAGCAAGGGTATTGGAATATCCAATAATAAAAATGTTGAAATTGCAGTTTTGATTCATTAAATTTTGAGCTCTGAATATATGCGTTTCCATTGCAAACGTTTCGGTGTTGTTAACTAGTAACTATTCTATTTTATTTAATTTATTATTGATCTTGTTCCCGTCATAAACCGTTGATATTGATCTCAATTGTCATAAAAAGAAATAAATAAACAATTACTAATTTTGTCTACTAATTGATAGAGAAATCGTGTATCATCGCTAGCAGAGATCTTTCGTCTAAAAATACGAGAATAAATGCTTCTATCAACATGGCTTCGTTTTTTAAATAGTTTTTTAACAATGTTTCTGAAATGTCGTTAGTAATTTGATGAAAGATCTTTCTTAAATAGGTAACTAAAAGCTGTAGTTCCGATCGAAATTTTTTATTATATTTTTCTTGAAAATATAAGTATTCAATATTAACCTTCATCAAGCGGATCGCTGTAAAAAGTTAATTGCGTCCTCTAGATTTTTTTTAAATAAAAAAGTTATCTCGGTTCCAGAAGGTCGTAGAAAAACATTTTTTTTAGATTTGTGAAAAATGTCAGCAATTTTGTTCTTTAAAAGTCATTTTCATAAAACAAAACTTGAAATAATTATCGGAAAAACACATGCCCGAAAAAAGTGCACATTTGTCAGTTATTTTTTGATCCTTAAAATTAATAAAATCGTTATTGTACGGCCATCCGCTGAGGAGATCTAACCAATTTTCGAGAGCGCCGTTTTTTTAAAATATATCGAAAAATAATTAATATTTTTAAATTTTTCAAAAATGGACTTTTTTTGGCTTGCCGCGAGCTATACTTACAATAAACAGCTAGTCTGGAAACGTAAATGGAAACGAGTTACCCAAGAAGAGAAAAGATAAAATTTTTAACGGCTTTTTCGATATATTTCGAAAAGTAACAAAGCAACTGATACTAATAAAAAATCAGTAGATTGATTTTTTTAAAACCTTCAATTTTCTCATTTCATATTTTTCGATAGGAGCTATAATTTTTTAGTTATTTAAGAAAAATCGTTTTTACAACTGTTAGCCATTTTGGATCGAGTTTAAAGAAGGACAAACTCAAAATTTAATTTCGTATAGTCATATTTTGTTTCCAAGTAATAATTTCTGTAAGCAGTTCTCTATAAAGCTTGGACCATTATTATTATTATTTCAAAAATAATTTGACACGGTTACACTTTTAGCAATATTTTTTATAACCCTATCATAATAATAAATAATTTCAACAAAATCGTTTCTAACACGATTTTTTAACACCCCGTATATCTTATAATAAAACGTATACTTAAAGATCTTTTATCATAGGCTAATAGAATGCCAAATTCATTTTAAAACTTGAGCGAGGGCAGAAAAGTTGTAAGGGGGTAGATGGGCAAGGGTAACTACAGGTTATACAAACTAATAAAAATTATAAAAATGTGTTGTTTATAGGCAGAAAATTTGCCAAAGGACGCAAGGGTAAATGTAAGCCATGAAAACCTTTAAAATATATTTAAAAAAAAAACATGAAATTTTCTGATTTGGACACACGTGAATGCATTGGGTGAAAATGCTAGAGGGGTGAGGTCGACCTCTTCTCCCTACCCTCCGTCCGGACGTCCATGTTTTAAAGTCACTGTTAAGTCTCCTAGATTTAAGAAAAAAGTACCTACCTTCTCGCGATTACATAAATCACTGTTTGTTGATTTGCATGTTACAACTGCTGAAATTTATGCAAATTAATTTAATTATAACATTGTATGGATATTTAGCCATCTATCTTGAAAACAGTGAAAACAATGACATGCACAAAAACACATTTCTGTAAAACCATTATTGTTCTATTATAATCAAGAGATTGAATTAAATTGGAAATAAACTACGCCCTTTTAAAGAATTGGCATTTACATATGTTTGTAGAAACCTAAATCCGCATATTAAATTTAAATTATACCTATCGTTTAGCTTTTTTCTTGTAGTATAAAAAACACGATTTTATTAAACTTTATCGTCCAGTGTCTCAAAGAGGAAGCCTGTGACTTTTAACCGTAGGTACTAAAAGTATGAGCAGTTTTTTTTCAATTGTAATTCTCCTAGATTTAAGAAAAAAAGTACCTCCTCACGTCTGCATAAGTTGCTTATTGATTTGTATGTCGCAAATGCTGACATTTATGTAAATTATTAATTTAATTATAACAAACCAGTATACCTAATAGTGCAGCGAAGTCTTTGGCATTGCAGATGCCAGTGTCAGCGGGGGAGGCGACCGCCAAAAGTTCCAGAAAACCAACTACCAACAGATGGGCGCTGGCAACGTGAAATACGAATGCCCTTTATGCGATCTTATCCTACCCTCTATCAACGCTTTAAGAAGCCATATTGATCAGCATTACCCAAGAGACAGCCCAGTTTGTCCAGTATATGAATGTGGGAAGAGATTTTCCCACCCCAATTCTGTTAGAAATCACATGAGAACTAAGCACTCTAAGCAGTGGGAAATCATGAAACAAGTCAAATGGAGCTTGTAAAAATGGCAAGGGGTGTTAATTGGACCGTAAAGATTGTGTTAAATATTTCTGGTTAGGCAACCAAGTATTATCCTGTGAATATGTGATAACATAGATCTGTGTGTACAAGTTAAATTTTTGAAATACAGAATTTATAACCAAATTTAAAAATGAACTGTAAATAAGAGTGAGCAGGACTAAGCTATTAAAATGTTTGACTTTTCTATTAATTTAGTGATTTCAGTATTATTATATTATTAGCTAATTTTGGTTTAATAAACGATTTTCGACATAACTGTAGCATTATTAAATTAAAAAAGTAAATAAATTAAATCACGAAACGTACTTTTCAGGCAGAATACCCCTGAATTGAATATATTTGTCTTTCTTTTAGTTTCAAGGAGGTCCTTAGACATGATGAGGGTAAGGGCAACGGATCCGAGGCCATGCCCAAAGTGTGGGAAAATCTATAGATCAGCACATACCCTAAGGACACACTTGGAGGATAAACACACGATATGTCCTGGTTATAGATGTGTCTTGTGTGGAACAGTGGCAAAATCAAGAAATTCGCTGCACTCACACATGTCCAGGCAACACAGAGGAATAAGCACGAAGGACTTGCCCGTACTGCCCATGCCAGCTCCATTTGACCCGGAACTTGCCAGCAGGTACCTTTATTTTTATAAACTAAAAACTTTATGCAGCAAAAATGTGTAAAAATTTCTATGTAGGTGTTTTGAATTTTAATGTACATACAACTAAATTTATTACTTAGAGTTCTAAAAGCCTTGAAAAATTCTTATCAGTTAAATTCAATGATTATTAAAACAAAATCAAGTATTTTTTACTATTTTCATTTGTTTACGAGTTACAGGGTGAAGAAGAGTGATATTCATTTTCTTGACACTTTCAAGTATGTTTTATATGGGCTGCTAAATGAGAAAATTAAAATAAATAGTGGTTGGCATACAGTCGATTGTCGAGGTTAGTTTTTTTTTAGTAAATTTCATCATTACACTATAACTACAAAATAAACTTATTTTTATTCATCAATCTATGCCAAAAATTTCATATGGTACAGTTTTTACTTTAATTTAAACTCATTTACCATAGCAGCAGAGATACAAAGGTGACCAAAAATTTAACTCAAAAATTAATGCTAATAAATAGCTGGTTTGATAGTTGAATTTGTCTCGATAATTAAGCTATATCTAGATCAATTTTCTGTATACTTGGAACATATTTTCCGTACATATAGTATGGCCCACTAGAACAAGAACACTCCTCTAAATGTATGTTTATGGTGGTCTTCTAAATGTACTTGCTGAATCTATTGCTATTACCATGATCCAGTTGGCAGCATGGCCTGTTGCAATCTTTGTCAGTAGTTTTCTGCAAAAATCACTTTGGTGCTTTTTTTTACAAAAAGTCTGGCTGCCTAGCCTTAATCAACTTCAGTTAAAACCTCCTGTCTCTAATTCTAATAATTTATAGTAGAGGAGAGTACTTATATGTATTTAACAGACTAAAAGGTATTATGTTTTAAGTTTTTGTTTCGGATTAAAATGTTACAAAGTATTGGAAATGTCGGAAGATGAAAATTTGGCCAATTGGGATCAAAATTGTGAAAGTAGTAAGTCCTGTCTAAAATTATTATAAAAATAAGTTTTTGGACTCATACTATTACTTTACTTACGATTTACCAGTTATAATCATCAGGGTCAGCAATTGGCTAATTCCTCTTGGATTTTAAACCAAAACTTCATAAATTTAAAACTTAAATTTTGTATTAAGAATACTCTGTGTTAGAAAAGGATGAAATGTGGGTGTTTAAGTGAAGCTGATTAATGTTACTTTGTCAAATTTGTAATAAATAGATTTTCTCAAAAATCCCTTCTGAAAAAAATCTCAGCAAACCATGGATCAGCAAATAAGTACATCTAGAAAGGCACTTATATATAAAAACAAATTTCTTTAATCATGCACCAAACAAAAAAAAATTGAGTGAATCTTGGGAGGTCTCACTATAAATACGGGACACTCGGTGGCAGCAGCTGGTGGAAATTGAAGTGGCCATATTTTGATAGTGAAGCATGGGACTCATATTATCTTTTAAGGGGATGATTTATAAAATAAGGGTTACCCACCCTGAGATCTCGAAAAGGGTTTTATATCAAAATATACATTTTTTGTCTTTTTTATTTCTCACAAACTTAAGTGTACCTATTTAAATTTTGATTTTGTATTGACATCCCATTTTCCAAAATTCATGATGCTGTAACTTTAAGGGAAATGAAAGTTTTGCAAATAAAAGAAATTACCTGATTGTATTTATAATATGATTATAATTTTGCACATATGTATGTACAATTATTTTTCAGATCCCATATTATCCATATCCCATATCTTATTTCGCCAAATTTCATTGGAAAATTTTTTTATTACAAAAGTTTTCTTTGTGGTCCCATGCTTGTTCATAAAAATCTGACCACTTCAATCTCATTAAAAAATTATTTTTACTAATAAAAAGTATAAATATTACCTAATGTAAATTATTTCTTGAAGTAATATAACAGTAATATAACACAAATTTATCAAATATGCCTATGTATATATTGATTATAAATAAAAATTGTTAAATACAATATTTGGAAAAAGCGCAATGTGAATCACATTTTTTCAATAACAAAGTAGTCAAAATTTTAAGCATATGCTATATATTAGCTTAAAAAAAGGGGATAAGGCAGCATATTTCTAATATATCTGCTTTTCTAGGTTACTGGCCAAAGCTGGGGTAAAAATAAGTCCGGCAGAACTCAGAGCGAGAGCTTCGCCAACGGGCCCTCGACGATCCGACGTGAAATTGGACGCAAAGAGTGCTTACTCTGGAGCAGCATCGGAAGCCGGCAGCTCGATATGTGGAGATAATGACCCTGAAGACTTAACGGTCTCTCATCCCAGGTACGGTGGTTTAGATTTTGGTATGTCCCCGCCAATCAATCAACAAAATAATTTTAAAATGAACAGGTTCAATGCGTCAGGCCAGGCGGTGGCTGCAAAAAGCATAGATTCCCTGCAAAACCTGTCAAAAGAACCTTATCCGGCACCGCTGGCACCACCCGTGTCTGGGGCAAACTCCACCGGATCTGCCATATTAGACACTTACTTGCAGTTTATAACTGAAAACAGCCTAGGGATGGGCATGATGACCTCCGAACAAGCTGCTGCGGCCATGCAAGCCGCAAAACTAGCCCAGTTGAATGCGATGGGTCTGGACAAAGCGTCACAACAGCACTTTTTGGAAAAGATGCAGCAGCAAATGCAGAACGCAAACGATTTAATGATGAAGCGAAGCGACGAAATAAGGCGAGGAGAAGCAGAGATGGTTAACCACGAGAGACACAGTCAAGACAAAGACCACGATGAGGCGGAAACCTCTGCCGACGAAGAACAGGACTACAGTGAAGATGAACTTGAGCCAGAGCCTGTCAAGGCAGGTGGTGAACAGTGTACATAGGATGGAAAGTTAGATTAAGTCAGATCGGTCGCCGCGTTACTTGCCATAAATCACCATGTACTCATTTTATTCCATCCAACTACCTCAGTTTGTATCTCATCATAGTATATTTATTGAAACATTTTCTTTCCTTTTCATATATTTAGTTTAGGACTATTTCGCTTTAGTCTGAACTAATAACTAAAATAATTCCATCCGTCTACCTCAAACTTATATAATATATAGTTAAAGAGTGCAAGATAATAAGGGTTTAAAAGTGTATACGGTAATTAGTAATAATTAGAAAAGATATTATATTGGACTTCGTTGCAGTTATAAAATAACTAAAAAAATTGATGTTTCCAGTAAGCTGTTGTGTAGGATTGTACTGCCTCTAGAGATTTAATATTGTGCCAGGATGAGTGTTTTTCAAATGCCAGTGATTTAGATTAGCAAACTTGTATATGTTTCGCAACGGGTCTGATAGAAATGGTCTTGATTTACAACCAGAAATTTTACCACGACTTCAAATCGTTACTCAGAATTAACAATATATACAACATTAGATGAAATCTTAATAAATATTCATATTAATTAACTTACAATCTTTCGTATGTTATTATTATGCATAAAATAAAATCATTACTTTACGTGTTTATAGCAGAACAGCTTGTAAACATTGAAATGGTCATATTTTTATAAAATATGGGACGGTAATCATTACTTTACGTGTTTATAGCAGAATAGCTTGTAAACATTGAAATGGTCATATTTTTATAAAGTATGGGACCCCTACCAATTTTTAAGAGATGATTTCTAGGTCTACAAAGATAGCTTTTATTATGAACAAATTTTGAACAAAATTTGCGAAATAATCAAAAATGATTGCAAATATATGTACAAAATATTTTTTCCCATTATTAACTAATACAATAAAATGTTTTTTAATTATCACAAATGGTTGCTTTTTCTTAAAATTAAAGCATCATGAATTTGGAGAAATGGGATGTTAGTCCCAAATTAATATTTAAATAGACTAGAACTAGGAACAGAATTTAATAAATAAAGAACACCTAATTGTAATTACCAATTCATTATGAAAAAAATATATTTTTGCACATACAACTATAACTTTTCAAGATCTCAGAGTGGGCAAACTCTATTTTAATTAATTTCGCAAATATGCGAGCCTATAAAACATTTCCTAAAAGAAGTATAGGTCGATGCTTCATTATCAGAATATAGCCACTTCAATCTTCACCAGCCGGCTTTGGTTTAAATTTTACACTTTACGAAAAAAGTGGTGATAAAGTTTCTGGCCCCCTGTCCGAGCTCTAAACATATTTAATAAAATCATCATAAGAAAACAATTACAGGTGATGTGTATACAATTTTATTATTAAATATGTTTAATACAATATGTATACAAACAATTCCAATTCAGGTGAAAATGGTACAAAAGCGTTTTTGCCTTTACAACAATATTTTTGTATGTGTCTTTAAAAAAAACTGAAATGTTACAAACTTTTTGAGATTTAAATAATTTTTTTATAGAACGCTTCCAGGTTTTTTCAAAATGCTTCCTGTTATAAGCAATTCTAGGCATATAACAATCAAGTTTATAAAAAAAATACAATAATTAGAAAATTGTGTGTACTGTACATATTATATGTAAACCTCATACTCATCACTCAGGTTATATGAGAATATCATCATTACCGAAGTACAAATTCCCGTATCACTTTATTTAAGATTCATTACACTTCAGGGACTTCCTCAGATTTTGCCAATAAATAATCAGTATAAAATTTTTATTTTTATATTTTTTTGTTAGTCATACAAACAGTGATAATTGATCAGGTAAATGAATAGCAAATAATCCACATCAAGTCATTTAGGAATCATAGAACCATTTGTCAGTCATTAGGTTAGTTAAATAGGGCTTCTTAAGTAGACTTAGACTTCCAGAGAAACTTCCAAACCGTGAGACCCCTATGTACTTAAATGTTTGTATTATACTTTTTTATAATTGTATTCTCGACGTAATGTCACAAACCTCCATTATGAATATTATAGTATGTCTCAAATTGCATAAATCAAGCTTTACGTGATATAGAGCTCCTCGCAGTAATTAAAAAAAAATTCATAAATGTGGCTTGAGAAATTTTTGGTTTCAGGTATATAGTCAATAGTCAAAGTTGAAAACATTTTTTTTAAATGTATTGAAAATGCTTAAAAATATGCAAAGGAAAATTTATATAGGTATTTCTCCACTATGAATTAAAATAAATCAGGGGCAAATGAAACGACTAAGGACTAGTTAAAATTTTGCCCCATTCTTATTCATACATTTTCTAATTTATTTAAGAACAGAACTTTAAAAGTTTTGCTTTTTGCATAAGATTATCTCTTAAAGTTTTTGTTAAAACTTACCCATTCTTGATCTCAAATAATTTAAACTTTATTAATCATTTGGACAAAAAATAAAATAAAATTTGATTGCATTATTGTCTTTTGCTCCAAAATTAAATAATAGAGAGATATTGCAATGCAAAAAACGTAACATATACTACTAAAATTGACACTTTAACAACTGAACACACACATATGTAATGTACAATAACATAGACCATAGATAGATAGAGACTTACTTTATTCATATTATTCAAAGCCTTTCTTCTGTCTTATCTGACAGTTTCATCAAAGTCAGTCGGACCTCAGACACACGTACAATCATTTGTTATATATAAGGTTCTATTTGTGCAATTGGAATGTCTCTGACAGAAACCCAAATGATGTACAGATGGTATATGAATAATGTCAACTTAAATACCGTTAGACAATGGCAATGCACTTCTGCAATGTCTCTAATAATTCATTTTCTGTTTAAAAAAGCCTCCAAACTTTAAAGTTCTGCTCTTAGATAAACTTGCAAAATATCGTACCAAGAAAGAGGGGGCTAAATGTTACACAAGTTCTTTAGCTTCACTTACCTATAAAAAATAATCCTACTTTGTTTGTCTTATAAAGGCTATAAGTCAACACCATGTATATCAAAAACTCAACATTTCCCAACCTACGTCAATTGAGATTTTCTTCTAATTTTGAGGCCCTCTATCACAAGGCAAAGCTTGGCTTATGCAATTCAAGACACCCTGTAGGATTCTACCAACATTTTGGAAATATTCGATCGCTATGTGTAGTTGCTGTTCTACGTATATTGTAGACTCTGGCACGTTTCCTTTGTGTTGGTTCAATTGTGAAATTTTCTAGAAATTTGTTCCCATAGATGTTCTTCCATTTTATTTACATACGTTGCAATAGATGAATAAGTATATACCATTTTTCACAATAACAATGTACTTATTTTTATACCTCAGTGATTCTTTGCTTCTCGCTATAAGTATTGGATGAAGAACTGGTCCAAAGTAGCTCACTGTATTGTTACAAATGCTTTCGTTCAAAGAAATAAAGTTAGGAGTAGACAGAAAGTAGCGTAGCGATAGCACTTGAATAGAGGTAATTGTTAATTATTGAATAAGGATTAGTGTAGACTATTGTTAAATGAATGTATGCCACTAGAAACAAGCACCCGAATCGTTTTGTTCTTAAATTATAAGTATGTTCGATCCAGTGAAATACTTTGCTTTAATTTATTGGTATATACCCGTACTTATATTTCATATGTAATAATTTAAGATCAAAAACAGTAGAGCTTAATGTCCTTTCAGGAAAAGGAGGAACCGTTTAGGTACTTATGGTGCTTTTTGTTTTTATGAGATAACCGATATTGATTTTGAGGTATGTTGTTGTACATAGTCCATATTTCTTGTTAACAAATACATTTTTTGACATTTTTTTAATATTGTAAATATTTCCTTTAAAGAAACAATCAAATGCAAATAATTATAGTATAAGGATTACGCAGAAGAATATTCGTAAGATATTGCAGTTATTTAAAACGTTGCGACATAGAAAAGTTATGTGTATGTTATACTGATTTCACAATCCCACAGCATTTCATAAAATAGCAACTTTTGTATAAGTTAGACATAGGTCATACGACGTACAAATATTTTTCCGTTACCCAAATTAAATGTCACAGTGATTTTATATAGCCTATAACTAACTTTTTTATGTGTGAGGTAGTGTACTTCTAATTTTTTTACTCTGATTGCAACGTTATTAAAAATATTGCGTCTGATGTATGATTGAATATTATGCATATTGTTTGTTCGTATATAGTTTTTCTAATCTTGTTATGTTTTGATGAACGGTGAGCAGTAATATTTGATATAAATCAGATCGATAATTGGTTTATGCCTTGTGATGTAGTATTTTGATATTGTTGTTTTTTTCCCATATAACCTACCTCATTTTGTGAATTTTTATATAGTTAGAGACTCCATGACATATATTTTATTACTAACCACAGGAACAAACAGATCTCCTTCAATAAACTGGTATTTTTTGTATTAAAAGAAAAACAATATATCAAAAAATATAGGCTTAGATTGTACAGTTGTTTTATAGAATTGCAAAAATTCCTGTATAGGGGACTTTAATGGCGAGCTTAAAAGTACGTGTGCAGTGCCATACTAGAGAAAACATTTTACAGTTTTTGTTGTACATAAGAAGAATTGTAAAATGTTACGTTTTATATTATAGGACTCTACAAGTCATAAGAAATGCAAATAAACCAAAAAGTGGTTCCTAACAATGTACGGTTCCTCAACAATATATTTTCTTAATAAAATGGTCAAAATATTCAGGAAAAAATTGTACATAATTAATTTATTTCCAAAATGACAATGTAGAGTCTGATATATGTAAAACTTATATTTATTGTTGAGGGGCTGGGTGCCTTCTTGAATTTATTTAACAGCTTGTTGGTAGTAAACAGCTACTAACAAAAAAAGCTGATCAGAGTTCCTAAAACAAAATTCCCTTCAAAAGAGGCGAAGAAATACATTTAAAAATAATCGTGTAACTTTTATATAGCGTAGTACCGTTGATTACACCGAAATATAGTTTTGCTATTGAACGGCAGAAACGTATATACACTATATTATTATATAAAAATAGGTGTATGTGTAAAAGTATATAATAAACTGATAGGTATACCTAAAAGTAAAAGTACCCCACACTGTATGTTTAGCATTATTTGCATTTCTTTTTGTTTATGTACTTAAAAATTGTGAAGATTTTTATTTTTGAGATTTTTATCGTTATATCTATAAATTTATTATTTTGTATAATGTTCCTAATATTTAACTTAGGATTTATATGTTAAGTTTTTATTGTCCTTGTTTAGTTAGAGGTAGGTGCAATAAGATCTATTCGTTTCAGTAAAGTTATAAACAAAACCTATTTGCCATATTATTATATTTACTTATTCATTATTTGTGTATTGCTTGGGTATCATTTATATGTAATAAATTAATATTAAAAATGACGAGAGTGTTATTCCCTATGTGCCTACATATCCAAAACAAAATCATATGATATAATGTTTAATAGCCCCAGAATTTTTGAATACTTTATATCTTTCTAGTGATGGGAGATCTCGAGGCTTTTTTTTAGCTGCGCTTATAAGTAATATGCAAACATGTATGCGCTGATGGAATGAAAATGACCAACATCTCGTATCTTATTATAAGAAGTAGGCAGGTATTCGAGAACCGATAACTCGATTATCAAAATTGCTTGATTATACCATTGTAGACCAAGTGAAGTATTTACTTATACAATGGTTATACCCGTCAATATATCTTTCTTAACAAAACATGAAGTTGATTGAAAATAATTTATCGAATGAGCAATTTTTCGTTAACTTATACAATATTATATATATTATTATATATTTTATACAACTTATATCAGCATGGTTAATAATAATAAAGATATAAGTATAATAC